GAGATATAAAGAAATATGGAAAGAATGAGTCATGAACTAGGAATAAGGGATAAGCCATGCACCAGAAAGAGGGCAAATAATGCGTGAGTAAGAAATCATGAGCTAAGAGTCTGCGATAAGCCATGAACTAGGACTAAGGTAAATGATACGTAAATAAGGAATTATGAACTAAGAGCCTGAATAAACCATGAAATAAATAAACCACCAAGCGTACATACCGCCTTAATGTGTGATTTGTCATTAGACGCAATTCCTCACCGATCGTCCACATTGCTCCTTTGAGTGGTCAGTGTCCAGACATTTGACGCAGCGAATGCGTTTCTTTCGTGTCTCCACGTACCGATACCTGGGGCAGCTGTCACTGTAATGTTGGCCCTCTTCATCACAGAATGAACATCGCAGATTCCTTTCCTCTGGTCTCATCACGTCCACGTACGAAATACATTTCACGGGAACGCGACGGTTAGCCTTCAGCATGCTCTCGAGGGTTTCAATTTGAGACAATATCTCGCGTCGTCTACGTTCCAGATATGAGCTCGTTTCAGGAAGTTCATCATCATGCACCTGTGTCCCCTTATCATGCACCGTAATTTCCGAATCATCTCGAAGAGCGAGTTCTTCTTCAACAAATTCGAGATCGAGCATAAGAATTATGTGCTGCATCATAACCTGGAAGCAGCTTGGCGCCAACTTATGCTTTGGTGTGTCATCCATTGTTACCTTCTTTGTCAAAAGTTGTGACATAGTTAACATCTTCCATGTTTACCTTTACAACCCAATAATAAGATTCCAACAAGGAAATATCGGAGCCAGTTCGTCCTCGTCAAATCCAGGTTCTCCTTTCCTGACCTTTCAGCTAAGGCCTGCAAAACATTGTTTGCTCATGTTGTAATTCATATAAAGGAGTAACTCTTGTAAGAATAAAACCACTGATACAACTGCTTAAGAAAAGCAAGCTCTTCGAAGCTAATTTAGCTGAAATTACTTCAACATGTGAAGAGCCGTCGCTGGAATAAATTACACTTTAGCATTCAAACAGGTGCTTCCTCGCAAAATTTTTGAGCTGTGGTGGTCACCTTTCCATCAGTAGGAAACTCGGCGTCAAACTATATACGCTGTACGCTGGAAATGGCGGCGTAACAGGATGAACTTCCAAAAGTTTTACCATAATTTATCTAACTCCAGAAAATCCTATGATCTTCAGTCTTCTTATCAAGCTTCTTGAAAACAGCAGCATATTTCGCATCATGCTACCATTATCGGTTTTTCAAAACCTATTCTACTTTTTCTATACATTCGGCAGCGCTATTATCTCGCTATTATATCAGCAGCTAGAAATGCTCACATACGTGACGTTAATATCTGCAACGTATGTGAGTTCATACTTCGCTTATTGCTAGTAAGATAGAAGAAGTTATATCTGCTGATCTATCCTTACCGCAAAGCTTCTCTGGTAACGCAACCATAGTAACAGAAAAACATACAGTCGAGATCCGAAAGTTGGGGTAGGCGTGTCACCGGAAGTGACGTGGACTTGATAGAAGTTGCGTAGATAAGTCGTTGCCAGCATGCTTTGCTGATATCTCGCGATGTATATTGGAAGCCCCTTATCCACATAGATTCTATCAAGTACACGTCACTTCCGGTGACACGCCTACCCCAACTTACGGATCTCGAGTATATACCGTCACAGAAGATATGACAAATTGAATAAGCATTCGCTCATAAGTCTTTTGTGATTTTGAATAAGCTTTTGAATGAGCTCCTTGCGACCATTTGGAAGCATGAAACAAAAGGCAAGAAATGCAAACATTCTAGTTTAGTTTTCGGCGTTTCAAGCACAAATAGTCTCGAAGGCAAGCCCTGGATCAGCCTCAGTAGCCCTAGAGACCGTTAGAAGGATTTGAATAGATGCCGAGTAACTACGATCAGATCAGTTTCGTCACACATGTTGCGCGATTAAGAAGTTGATTTTTACGAGTCTGCAAATCGACCCCCGTTGCAACGCTTCCCACCCATTGCGATTCATTTATTCACTCCGCAGATCATATGTCGCTACGGCGCGCTCATATACGATGGTCTCCTCCTGGGGTTTGCCTTTATAATTTTGTGCTATCACTTATTAGTAACCAGGTCGGTTCTGCACGCCACCGGGTGCATGACAAATACATGAAACGTTGCAACTCGTTGTGGGAACGTGGTACACGGTTAGCACAAAGTCTATTTATTTTCTTACATTCCTTTGTAGTTGCTACGTGCCAACAGCTTTTCGTGCGGACTGAAGACATGCGGCAATAGTCGCGCAATCGTACTTAAGACTAAATTCTTGCTATTACCTACTATATGTAATCGGCTAGTATAATCGTGTTCTGGCTGTGTGGGTGTGTTGGCGTCATTTTGTCCGCAGCAATTCAGTAGCGTGGTTTTGACTGCGCAACCATGGAAGCGCTGGTTTCGGTTATGGATTGTACGGGGGTAGACGGGAACATATTTGTGATAAGCGACTAAAAACGGCTGATAAGAGGCCCTAGAAAGCGAATTTCACAAAACTCATAGCGTGCGTTCCAGCAGCAGCGGGGCGCTGGCATAGTGTCTAATTTGCTAAGCATCTCTGTGCTTGTGCATGAAGGTCTGTGTGTTTGCCACTAAATTCATACCGCGCCCAGCAGCAATGAGGCGTTGCGTTCCAGGTATAAGATAGAGGGTGGGAAAGACATACCTGGTGAGTGACAAAAAGTGGTAACGATTGATAACAATTGATTGTAGCCCTTAAAACACAAATGTTGTCTAATTCACGGCGCGCAGTTTAACAGCAGTAAGGCGAGATTTCCCAGGCATGATTCAGACTGTGCAGCGGGAACATGTTCGGTGGGTGACAGAACGGGATAACCATGATAAATACTGACAAAAGATCAGCTTGAGAACGGATGCGGTATCAGAGTTGTTATCCAAGAATATGTTCTATTTCGTCATCGGTATCGGCATCAAGATCTACCGCTCATCTGCCTGAGCTGCTTAGCATGGCCGGTGTCTGTAAAAACACGATGAGGTGGTTTTTCTACTTCAGTGTCGCCAACATGAAAAGTTACTCAACTGCTAAATCACCCCATTACCTAAAGCAAGGTAATGGGATGATTTGAGCTAAAATCTGATGGTAAGCAGCGCATGCGATTACGTTAGCCATGCAAAGCTTATTCGGCCCTAGACCATATAAGTTCATGAAAAAAAGTGGATTATTATGGATATTTTTATGGGTGTGGATCACGAGATATAGTTATTTTATCACTAGAATTATAGCTAATATCTCGTTAATAATACGCTGCACACCAGCCCTGTTATGCTCATTTCTACTGGAGTGTATTTCGCATGTGCCGCGCCAGCGAACGGAGTCAAGCTGCTATATTCAGATGCCCTCATCATCATTCAAAATGAAGGAGTGTAGCGGTTAAATGGACCTTGCAAACAAATTCTTGGGTTAGCTACTACCAACCTCGTTTTCTCATCCATCACACCTCGTCAGAAATGCAGCTAACTCGGTCGAAGAAAAAGGCCTTTGGCTTTACTCAAAAAATCTTGTATCGAAATTTAGATGAACTTCGAAGCGACCTATCCCTGCTTGAAGTCGACTCTGTAATTAATGAAAAAAATGTTGAAAACTACTCACTACTTTTATCAAGGAGCGTACTTAAGTCTCCGTTATTTCGTTAATGAGGATTTCTAGAAATAGTATACGATTGTCTATGTTCGCCTGCAGCTCGCTTAGGAATCAAAACGTTCCTCACCCAAACTTTCAAGGTGACCAAAATCAGTAACGGTGGGTGGAAGACTTATTGAGTGCCGGCGCATGACTCAGTTCAGCGATCAGTTTGCTGAGATATTGGGCCGTATGCTATCCTTCCCCGAAGCTAGGTGACGCAAAGTTTCCTTTAAATTTATTTGTTTTGAACGATGTAGTTTCTTCATTTTCAAGTGCATGTTTACTTTAACCTACATACATACATTAAATGTAGGCCCTTTATCAGGGCAATCCCAGTTGGGAAGACAGAGAAAATTTAAAGGAATTTTCGTCCCCTAACCCCTTCGGGGAGCATAGCATACGGCCCATTGCGAAATAGTGTGTAAATGGTGAGAAAAGCGGCCAACCGCATCATGAATAGGCGCCGTTCCATTTCCGAACTGTAGAACTTCTCGTTTCCGCGACATTTCGTCGGAGCGCTGAAGAAAGATTGGTGCTCTATAAAGTGCATGATTTTGAAAAGCTATGGTACTCAGTCAGCGAAAGATTACCCAATGATAAGCAGGATTCCCTTCCCCATTTTCGGCTTTGGAGGTTGCCTCAAAGCTTCATCCCTGTCTACTATTGTTAAGTTTACTTCGTCTGTTGTTACGACTCTATATTTTTGTCATGACGACAAGAAATTCCTGGTGTTCTAAGAATAGAGATAAGGTTTTTTTTCATTGAACAAACAAAAAAAATTTCCTTCAAACCTTTCTTTGTTTTTGTTTTTGTCCAGCTTCTTCATGGGGCACGCACATGTCCCAGCTTTCTTACCTCTCAAGGAACTTTCATTCCAAAATTTGATACAGTTGCTCCTAGTTCTGTTGCTAGCTATCTGAACTGTGACGACGAAACGTGAAAAACGCTTCTACGAGTCTAAGAGGTTGTATTTAATGCAGACCAGCGCCCTAACCGCCCACCTTCATGATGAAATTTCTCATAAACGGAATGTCGAGACCATCACTATTCCCATGACTTCAACATTCTGTGATACTGAGATATTAGATATTAGGCACAGCACTATTTCGCAGTTTTATTCTCTAAGATCTCCGACCTTTCTTAAGAAGAACATGGCTTGTTGGAGCCACATTACTTTTCTACTTTTCTAGCGTCGCCAGTAATGCTCCGTGGATTGGCTGTGGCATCATTACTAATCCCTTTCCTAGCTACCTTGAGTTCTCCCGGTCGTTATCAAATCATCATCAATCATCGTTATCTTTATCGTATCTCTCTACACTTTGTGTCTCCATCCTTCTCCTAACTAACATGCAAGCGCCAAACGCCTACTCCTGCCGGGAACGACAGTCATAAGCTGATGGTGGTAGCAATTTCTCAGTTTTTATCATATCTATGTGTAATACCGTTATAACTCGCTGGCTTTTCTCATGCTAATGACATGAAACGGAAGCACCCAGTTCACATCAAAATTTCACTAAACACCGACCACATTAAGTGCTCAAGCAGTTAGGAGCTGAATGGATCACGACGATGACGAGATATTAAAAAGGAAATGAAAGTGAATGCTCACATACGTTGCCAACTATGTATCGTAGGATAACTTATCGTTCAAACATATGCTTTGTTGGTGAATGTTGGAAGATCAATTTTTCTCTCATTTCCCTGGTTTCAGACAATTCCATACTACACGATGATGTCACCAGTTCTTATATGGTTCGCCATACGATGGTCACAGCAGCTGAAAGTGACAAAGTTGAAGATGCTCACCAAATCTCATTCAAAGGAAAACGATGTGTATTTTCGTTCTTATAGAGAGGCATGGAACAGACCTGAAATAAAGTGATAATTTGTGATAGCATCGCTGCGAAGTGTAGGAAGGGCCCCAAGCACATGCTTCATGATATAGAGGTCTATAGATCTTGAGCACAGTCATATTAGTGAGTTTATTGCTGGGTTCCATTTTCAAAGGGAAAGGCGATTATGCAGTCGGGGGAAGCATTTTGATGCAGAGACAGCGTTCTCCGTCTGTAATACTAATACTTGAAGAGCTCTCGAAGGTTACGATTTGCTAGCTGACTGATTACTTCGCTTTCTCCTTTTTTTCTTTTTTGTATGTTGTACAGGTTTTCTGCTCCAGATGGAGAAGCAGAAATAATTATGGTCAAAGGATGTAATTTTCTAGAGCGTAGAAGAGCTCGCGGGCAAAGAGGCTGGTGTCACCCCTCCAGTTTACGAAGAATTCGCGTAGTTCCTTCTAGCCAAAGCTCTTTCTCCTTTCAACTTCTTTGTCTTGACTGGTAAAATTAAAAACCCATCCCGATGCTCCCTCACTCCTCCAGAACTTTTCGCGCTAACGTTGTTGAGGGGGGGAAGGGCAGAAACAGGCACTGGCGTGGCGCTGTGTTTGTCTGCGCGGCAGTAGCAGTGAGCGCTTCTCGATCAACGGGAAAGCGCTGCCACCGCCGATGAAGAGGTCCATGTGCGAACACAATTGCGAGGGTCCTCAGAATATTTCCAAGGAGAGTGGATGATCTCTGACAAAAAAGATCACTGTTTGTGCATTTTAAGGTTTCACCCACCCCTTAAGACTGAACCGCGACTTCAGCGTCATTCCACTTCCATTTGGACGGTTAGGCCACCTTTATTTTTTCGTGATCCTTCACAGACAAGTCTGGTAGCCATCAACCTTTTACCAGACCTGGCCGTATTGGTTAAAACGCTGAGTGAACCTGAACGGCGCACGATTTACTCACTTCGACAGTAGGCGTAGTAAACAGGCCTCCTGGCGCTCCAACACTTCAATTTTCTCAGTGAAATATAGGCTGTACGTCTGAACGCTCTCTGGGTTACCTCGTCAAAATATTCCCAAGTACGCAAATGAATACAAATAGCCTTCATGGAACAACGACTCTGCGTACACAGCGTTTGCCGAAAAAGCTCCAGATGAAAGATAACGAATGATAGTGATTGCAAATTAAAGCTCCTTCATTTGTTTGCTAGAAGTAGCTCTAAACTCTGCCAGAATTGTTATTCTCAAAACGAGGAATTAACTTTCCGAGACTAGTTATTTCATTAGAGGATTCTTATGATTGACGTTGGCAGCCCGTCATTAGAATGTGCTGTCAGCGACGCGAAAAAGCAAAGCGCTGGCACGCATCATAAAATTTGGCTAATATTTGTTGATACATTGCGTTTGGAAATTACAAAGGCATCTTTGAAAAGGACACTCGCATTACTTGCTCTGATCCACCGTTAGAGTCCCTAAAAGGCAGCGATTATGACATGTTCTGAAGCAGATCAGAGGAGACGTAGAGCGCACTACCAAGAAGCAGCTAAATTAGTCAGCGAAGGCAGAACAGAACCCCTCGTGTAGCCCGTGATGTTTTTGGCTCAGGTGGAACGGCTAAAAGGCGGGACGGTATGTCATGACGAGCTTGCCGCAACGCGTCGTTGAATGATCCAGTCAAGATGCTCCAGTGTCCCCTGCTGGCAACACAGCTTGTCCAAATCACCAACCAGTGAGTCAGACGTTTTTAGAGCGCGGGACTCTTTAATTACTGTTTAGTAAATCTCTACCACCACGCCCAGTGACTCATGATGTTCAAATGATATTCATGTGAGATTTTTTTCTGATGGTTCTTGACACAGCATATTTTCTGTTTCCTCGTATGTCTTTGAATAAACAATTCGGCATGAGCGAGCATGAATCTCTTTGCATTGAGTTGACCTAAACGCCTAACTAATGAGCGAGAACATTCAGCAGGGCTAGATCGTGTAAATTGCAGATTCTCCACTTATTTTTTATCCGAAATGATCATTGGATGTAGCATCCAAAGCTAGTTGCTTATCTAGGTTGGAGTTTGATGCTACGCTACGAAGCTCGAAGTTATTATCGTGTTGGCTTTCTGGTCTACTTTGTTTGAGAATCTTCACAATTATTTGTCACAGACCAGTTTAGCAAGCAGCAGTACTGCAGAATCATGCACCCCAAAGCAAGGGTGTGAGACGGGAGCGTCTAATATCTACTACACATAACAGCCGACCTTCTCATGCTGCAAACTGGAAGTTCCTAGGCGTCACACGCGCCAATGAACTCAATCCTTTTACTTTTTCTTAATTTTGGCTCACTTGTATGACCATCCCTTTCTAAGAGGGTCTAGCCATTTGCGATCTTGTTTTATTGCGCCGGAGATGTTGCGCTTTGTTTATTATTTGACTGTGCAAACATCATTTAAGATGGAGTGGAACTTGAAAGACGTTTATATTCCGCATCATTAGCCATCTAACTGTAACATCCTAACGGGCTTTGAGATCGGGTCCTCCAACCTAACGAAACATTGCATGGGCCATGGGGACCGGATGGTGCTATCTGTATGATTCTGCTCTAGGAACAAATATTCCAGCGTCTTAGCCGCGTACTGCAGATAGAGGTGGCTGATATAAGCCGAATACGGGTTCGCCACTAGCTGGAGGTAGCTCAGCAACCAGTGCGATTTCACCATCAGAAAGGCCCTTCACCTAATTTGATAAGCGCTCCCACTTTGCTAAAAGTTCTTATTACCCGACCGACGAACGACAATCAAACAAAAAAGAGCGGCGACACAAGTGGCCAAATCAAAGAACCGACAGGGACATCGGCTTCACAATTTTTCCTCTCCCATTATATTCGCTTGATCTCGCGGAAGGACGGATAGCATGTGTCCCGTTTCACTGCTCAGTTTTTGAAGAGCAAGCCTTCCGATTATTGCGATCAAACGGACTCCGACCATCTTTGCGTCAGAGGCAGCATAATTCTAGGGTAGAGGTACCCCTAAGTCATTAGATGACGAATGTTGGACTGAAGTGAAATAAAGAATTGAAGCGATTAGACGTTCTGTTAATTATTTCAATGAATGGACCTTACAACAAGAATAGGCATCGGTTTGTTTATGTCGATATCACATCCCTACAAATTTACAACTCGACACAATAATATGTACTTTACTATTTTAGGGGAACAACCCAGGCAAATCTATTCGAACGAATCCTTCCGAACTATAATGTGTATCCCTAGAAGCAATCACAGATGGGGCACTCCCCTGCACGAACACCCGACAAGAGCACTACGATCTCGTGAGATGAAACGCCTGCAACTTACTCCTTCATCAGGCCGTTGTCTGGCTCCTCTCATCTGTAGCGTTCTCTCGCCTCATAGTCTCCTCCGCGCTGAACCTCTCACTTTCTTAGCACAGCCTATTGCGTGCGAAGGTGAGTGAGCCGTTAACTTGTGCCGGATCCACACCAATTCCATCCAAAGCCTTTGCATGCCTTTGACGGAAGTTTTTCTGAATATATGCTCTTCTCGCTTTGCGAGAATAGGTTCTTCCTCCTCCTCTGGTTAGGTACCCATTTTCATTATCACCTAGGAACAGAGTGACTGTTTGCTTTGCGCCTTGATCTCAACGGCCTAATGGCGGTTTACAGTATACATTTCTTCTACCCTAGACTGTAGTAATAAATGGCACCGCTTACCACGCGCACGGTTCGGGATAAAAGGATAAAGCATTTGCCGTTGATCAATCCCTTTTTGGGATGCGGCACGCATTCTACTTCCATTTGTACATTCGTAGTGGCGTTTGAATGCGATGTGGCCTATACAATGACTTGCGGGGGCCAGCCGATGTACAAGTCAGTGTTTTTTATCCTCCCAGACAAGTCTGGTACCAATTAACCGACCCCGGAGGGATGGAAGGCTTGGTTGGCCCGGGCGACTCACGACCCAGGATTTGATCCCCGGACCGCTCGCGTGGTAAGCGTGCCACTTGCCACTACACCACTTCCGCCCCCCTTCGTATAACTTCGTTTATAGTGAGCCATTTGGAGTATGCAAGCAATGCACACTCGAGCGGTCGGCCGATCGGACAAATTTGTATGGATTAGAAACAATGACTTGTTCGGCTTACTCAGGTGTACATACTCAATCGCGTTTGAATCTGAAGGAACCATTAAAGACATCCTCTACGCTGACGACATCGCCCTGATAGCGGATAGCAGAGAGAACTTACAGGCCAAGGTGCAGAAATGGCAGAAAGTCCTGGCAGAAGGTGGGCTCCGGCTGAATGTCAAGAAGACCAAGTTCCTGAGCTCTGAAGAGGGATTAGAGCCTAT